CCCTTTTGACAAAAAATTAATATCCAAAATATGTAAGGAGCTTAAACAACTCAATAGAAAAAAATCTAATAATTTGATCAAAATTGAGACAAAGATTTGAACAGACATTTTTCAAAAGAAGATACATAAATGCCAAACAGGCATGTGAAAAAGTGCTTAATGTAGTTGATTATCAGGGAAATACAACCAAAACTACAATGGGATATTATCTCATTTCAATTAAAATGACTTATATACAAGTGACAGGCAATAACAAATGCTGTTGAGAATGTGGAGAAGAGGGATTGCTTGCACACTGTTGGTGGGAATGTAAATTAGTACAACCACAATGGAGAACAATTTGGAGATTCCTTAAAAAAGTAAAAATTGACCTACCATATGATCCAGCAATCCCACCGTTGGGTATATACCCCAAACAAAGGAAATCAGTATATGAAAAAGATATCTACACTTCCATGTTTGTTGCAGCACTGTTTGCAATAGTTGAGATTTGGGAGCAACCTAAGTGTTCATCAACAGACATATGAATGAAGAAAACATGGTACATATACACAGTGAAGTAATAATCAGTCATAAAAAAAGAATGAAATCCAGTCTTCCGCAACAGCATGGATGGAACTGGAGATCATTATGTTAAGTGAAATGAGCCAGGCACAGAAAGACAAATGTCACATGTTCTCACTTATTTGTGGAATCTAAAAATCAAAACAATTGAACTCATGGAGACAGAGATTAGAAGTATGGTTACCAGTGGCTGGGAAGGGAAATAGATGATGGAGAAGAGTGGGGATGGTTAATGGGTACAAAGAAAGAATGAATAAGGTCTATTATTTGATAGGACAACAGGGTGACTGTAGTCAATAAGAATATAATTGTATATTTTGCAATAACTAAAAGAGTATAATTAAATTGTCTGTAACAAAAGGATAGATGCCTGAAATGATGGACACCCCATTGTACATGATGTGATTATTACACTTTGCATGTATGTATCAAAACATCTCATATACTCCATAAATATATACACCTACTAGGTACCCAGAAAAATTTTAAAAATTTAAAAAGACTCAGCAAACACAAAAAAATTACATTCAAAAAGACAAAAAGGGTTCATAAGATTATAAAATATGTATCTAGTCTAGACTTGTATGTACATCCTAACAATGCCTCAAGTATACAAAGCAAAAATTGTCAAAAGTATAAGAATTTGACAAATCCACAATTACAGTGGAAGATTATAACTCTCTCGGTAACTGATAGGTCCAGCAAACAAAAAAATTAGTAATAGAGAAAATTTAAACAACATAATTAAATTTAATTAACAGAACACTACATGCAAAAATTAGATACACAATCCTACCAGGCACACATAAAACACTAGTTGATCATGTTCTCTAAGACATAAAGCAAGTTTCAGCAAACTCTAAATAATCATTATCATATAAACAATATTGTCTCTTAAATGGAAAACAGTAACAAAATATTAAGCTAAAAAACAGCCATATACCATGACTTAGTTTCTAAATAGTCTCCTTTAACGATAACAGAGGTCTGTAGAGAAATGAGTAATGGGGTAGGAAGTACACGACAAGCCTGAAAGTAAGGAAGTAAAGAAATTTTAAAGTAAGTAAAAATATGTGTTGAACAATGATGAGACATGTCAAAAGACAGGAGAGCCAACTTTAATGGGCAGCCACTCACTAAAACAGAGACAATTTGAGCATTAAAATAAATAACAATAGGGTATTTAAAAAATAAAGTAAAAGTCTATGTGCCCAAACTAATAAATAAATAAATGGAGAAAAACCTCTACCTTGATGTAGAATATAAACTAATAAATGTAGTAAAAATGATGGAGTTTGAAAATTACCATTTTGCATTCATCATAGTAATATCTGATTCAGTAAAGAAATATCAATGGATTTGAAAACTAGTGGATGATAGTATAATGAGGAACAGGATAGGTACATAGTCTCAAAGTATTCCCAGCAAAATCATTAATTATAAAAAGGAAAATGATAATTGTAAAGTGGATTAATCTAGCAACTATTCACAATGTTAACTAAGTAATCAAAGTTAACTTTATTCCTAAGGGGTGAAACCAGCATCATGTGCCACCAATATGATGTCCTGAGAAGAACACATTACTCCTTTGGTGTTTTTGCTCATATGCATACTCTAAATATAATAACGGGGATATGGCACACAAATTTACATTGAAGGACATTCTATGAAATAAGTGTCCTATATTTACACAACTGTCAATTGTTGATGTGTGATATTGTGATATATATATATATACATATAGGTTTTTGTCCATGGTTCCTGGCTCATAACTCCCAAAGCTCTTGTAATTTCCTAAGTGACTAAAACAATAGGCATATATTTTGTTTAAGTATTTGGTCTTTTGTCTTTGGTTCCTGAAGCAGCTTTGAAACAGCTTCAGAGAAATAAAGGTGAGAGACAGTCAGAGTGTGTGTGTGTGTGTGTGTGTGTGTGTGTGTGTGTGTGTGTGTAATGTATCTGTGTGTGGATATGTGTATACATATGTATAATGTTGGAGCATTTTAGGCTTCCGAAATCAGAATCTCTTTCTGACTTTCTCCGGTCCCCTTTCACCTTCTTTTCATTCTCCCGAAGGCAAGCCATAGAAACTAAAAATATACTCTAAACTTCAGCTGGCTTTCTGTCTTGGAGCTGGCCATGAAGTAATTCTCTGACCTACCTAGTTTGACTATGGGTCATAAGACTCCCATTTCAGAAAGAGTCCTGCCCCATACCCAGGAGGAAGGAACGCTGCACAAAGAAGCCAAGAAGAATCTGAATAGGCAAGGCTTGCTGAGTTTCTCCATTGAATCTATTGGTATTAGATCATACCCTTTTAGTCCAATCACATTTCTACATGGTTTTCCATGCTTCAATAATGCCAATCGAATGAAGTCTTCATAAAAAGCACAAGAGGACTAAGTACAGCTGAATTTGTGGAGGCTTATAGAAGGATGAACAAGAACTCATCCACATGCCGGGAGGGTGGCATACCCCAACTCCACAGGAATGGAAGCTCCTGTGCTCAATACCCTTCTAGACCTCACTATATGCATCTCTTCATCTGGCTGCTTATTTGTAGCCCTTAAAACATCCTTTATGAATAAATAGGTACATGCAAGTGTTTCCCTGAGTTCTGTGTGTTGTTCTAGCAAATTATGTGAGCCTAAAAAGAGAGGTTATGGGAACTCTAACTTGAAGCTGGTCAGTTAAAAGTTCCAAAGGCCCAGAATTGAAACTGATGTCTAAAGTTGGGGCAGTCTCGTGGGACTATGCCCTCAATCTGTGGGATCTGATACTTTCTTCAGGGAGATAGTTTCAGAATTGAATTGGATTGGAGCACACCAAGCTGGTGTCCACTGTAGAATTGTTTACTTGCCTGTTGGTGAGAAGAAATCCCAATATATTTGGCCAAAAGTTTTCTGTGTTGGTTGTTGTCGTGCAAGAGCCAAAGAAAACCTGTTTTTTTTCCACACAATCAGTGTCAGAAGTGGGGTTGTGAGAATATAATGAGAGAAACTGAATTTGTTTTTCTACGCACATAAAAGACAAAGAAAGGTCAAGGAACTTTTCTATATTAAAAACTGGAGAGGCATGACACTAAATGTAATGCATCATCTTGGATTAGCACTTTGAACAAGGAAAGAAAATAACGATAAAAGACATTATTGGGACAACTGGTAACATCAGAATATGGATTAGATTATAATATCAGAGCAATATCAAATTTCTTGATTGTGACACGTTTACTGAGAATGTATGAGGAAATCATCATTCTGAAGAAATAAACACTGACATATTAAGAAGGAGAAGGATTTGACATTTGGCAAATATTTTGACATTTGGCAAATTACTATTTGCAAATACTGTCAAATAGGAGAGGGAGAAGGAGAGGAAGAGAAAAACAGAATGATAAGGCAAATGTGATAAAGTGTTAATTGGTGAATGTGGGTAAAGGGTATTATGGGAGTTCTTGTAATATTCCCAGTTTTTCAAGTGTGAAATTAAATAAAAATTTTAAAAACATAAGTATAAAATTCAACAATAACAACATCAATAAATATCAGAACCATGCTTTTGCTATGTATTTAATGAAAGAAAATGTTTTATATTGCCAAACTCTGTTGGGAAGAGCAGCCAATGTATAATTTTGTATCTTGTTATAAGAAGGATTAAAAAAATTTAAAGCAGAAAAAAAGATAAACTAGAATGAGGTTAATGATTTCATAACACAATTTTTTAAAAAGGAATCCCATATGGTTAGAAATTAAAAAAAAAAAACCATGGGTCAAAAAATCGTAAGAGAAATTTAAAAATAATATTGAATGATAAAAATACTATATATAAAAACCTGTGAACTGTTTCTAAGGTGGTAGAAGAAATGTATAGTTCTAAATTCTTATCTTACAGAAGAACATTGAAAATTAAGAAGCTAAAGATCTAACTCAATAAATTAGAGAGAAAGCAACAAAAGAAGAATGTTCAAAATAAAAAAATAAAATTTATTAAAATAGAAAACAAAATATCCAGTGGTGAGGCTTGATGAAAGCAAAAGCAAGAAATATATTAGAAAATTGATTATTGTAATTTATCACATGGTCACACTGTGATATTAATGTCAATACATATAGATGGGAAGAAACTTCATAATATTTGTAATAAAAACTCTCAGCAGATTAGGAATATAAAGAAACTTCCCTAACTTGAGAAAGACAATCTACTAAAAAAAGTGAAACTTTTGTAGAATTTCGGAACAAAATAAGGAAATCCTCCACCAATGCTCTTGTTCCTCTTTGAACTAAGGATCCTAGCTAGCACAGTAATACAAGCTAAAGAAATATTGGAAAGAAACTGTCATTATTCAAAATACAATTAATTAACAGATAATCCAAGAAAATCTATAAATTATTAGAATAAACAGAATTCAAGAAGGCTACAGAATATAAAATCAGTATACAAAAATGTCAATCATGTTCCCATTTACCATAAATAATTAGAAAATGTAGTTAAAAAGATGATATATTTCACAGTGATAATATAAACTATAAGGTAATTATAAGTGAATCTAACAAAACATTTCTTTAGATTACATTATTATGAGTATGTTTTCATATAATGTAGAATGTAGTTTCAATTTTATCATTTGCTGCTATCTTTTTGTGTTTTGTTTGGCTACTTTTTAATGTGTCAAAACCAACTTTTTTCCTCCTCCTCCTTTTAATAGTTTTTGGTAAAGAGATTACCTTAAGAAGCACAACTTCCAGGTGCAGGACATCAGAAAAAGCAGGGTAGCATTGTAAATAATCTTCATTGTTTTCACCAAGTGAACTATTACGTGAATGCACCAGGGAAATGGAGTCATATTGCAATCCCTCAAAGACTGAAAAATAGTAAAAAAATATTGTGACATCATTTTTTTTCTGTTTCTGTCCATCTCTCTGTCTCCTGGTCTCCTCAAGTCATTATCCTTTCCCTGCCACAATTTCAATGATATATTCCTATAAAACAGTTGTATACATAGTATTAGAAGGGATGTATTACATAGCAGCTTAGAGCATGAACTCGAATCAAATGTTCTGGGTTCAAAGCTCAGCTCAGCCACTTCGTGCTGTGTAACTTGTGGCAACTCATATAACTTACCTTGGCCTATACAAACTTCTCTAGTAGAGTTGTGATTACATAAATTATAACATGCAAAGCCCTTTAGAAAACTGGCACATAGACTGGCACTGGGCACGGTGACTCACACCTGCAATCCTAGCACTTTGAGAGGCAGAGGCGGGCAGATCACGAGGTTAGGTGATCAAGACCATCCTGGCCAACATGATGAAACACTGTCTCTACTAAAAATACAAAAATTAGCTGGGTGTGGTGGCGCGCGCCTGTAGTCCCAGCTACTCAGGAGGTTATGGCAGGAGAATCACTTGAACCCGTGAGGCAGAGGCTGCAGTGAGCCAAGATTGCACCACTGCACTCTAGTCTGGGCGACAGAGTAAGTCTCTGTCT